ACTTTTTAACAGTGGGATTGACCCACTGAGTGATAGTCCTGATTCTCATTGCCAACCTGTGAGATATGTTGCTTTGAAAAGTTCTTAATTGTTTACTTGTTGGTGACTGAGTGCCCTTCTGAAACAACACCTCTTGAGATCACAATTGGAATAAACAGTTCAGAGGGGGCAAACTGTCTAGAAGGTAGCCTAGACTCAAATAGCACCTGAATATAACATGAGAAAAAGTGGAAAGTTGATGCGTTTGTTCCTTTTTTCCAGTGGCTCAACTTTGTCACCTCATTCTCAGAGTTACTGAATCTGAACAAACACTTCTTAATGTTTGCATATCACTAGCAGTTGGTTTAATGACTGACGTTTCTATGGTGTATAAAAGCCTAACTTATAATCTAGTTTTTATGGCATGGCAAGAGACTTAGCTGTGAAATGAACATGTGAACGTTGCATGGTTTTATTCAAACATTTTTGTCAGCCTGGAAAGTAGTCCTCTGTGAGTGCCATGTATAGAATATGAAGTCTCAAAGTGAACTCCCTTAAAATGTCTAAGTTTCTTAAACTTTATCTCTTCTCTTGTGCATCCCTTAGGTTGAACTTCAGGATGTCCCTTGGAAGAGATATGGAGCTGGAGCATTTTGATGAGCGTGATAAAGCGCAGCGATATGGCAGAGGGTCTCGGGTAAATGGTTTGCCCAGCCCTACTCACAGTGCCCACTGCAGCTTTTACCGAACCCGCACTCTACAGACCCTGAGTTCTGAGAAAAAAGCCAAGAAAGTTCGTTTCTATCGTAATGGAGACCGGTATTTCAAAGGGATTGTATATGCCATCTCTCCTGACCGGTTCAGGTCCTTTGAAGCTCTCCTGGCTGATCTGACCCGAACTCTGTCCGACAATGTGAATCTGCCCCAGGGAGTGAGAACAATCTACACAATTGATGGCTCCAAGAAAATTTCCTCCTTGGACCAGCTAGTAGAAGGTCAGCAATAAGATTCAGAAGTGTAAAGTTATGTTTGAGTCAGTGTTTGTCTAATCTCTTAAGCCTTTCAAAACTAGGTAATAGTATTGCTCTTATTGATGAAGGAAGGGATCTTCAATGCTATAACTAGAATTGTGAATATCTTAAGTTATGTCTTGAAATATTGTTGCCTTGCTACTTATTTCGCTCTTGTTGAAAGTCTCTGACCTCTCCCGTTCTGTTAGCCTGGTGTTGATAATCCTAGATCCTAAAGATTGCATCTGTGCCTTTTTTTTTAAACGTGCAAGTTCAAAAGTCAAGGAGAGTTTAGTCTGTTGAACTTGACAAGATTCATGGTGTTGATGAAACATATTTGAAATTCAGTTCTGATGGAATTTTTTTCCCCCTAGAGGTAGATATGTCTTAAGGAAAATCCCAGCCTCTCATGGAGGGACATAAATGTTGGCCATCTGTTTACCAAGCAACATTCTAGCCATGGTTCATCTGGGGTAGACTGAAAACTTTTCTTCCCTGTAGCATTTCCCTTTTCCTCTTCTCCAGTCATAGAATCATTAAGGTTGGAAAAGACCTTTTATGATCATCAAGTCGAAACATTAGCGCAGCACTGCCAAGCCCACCAATGAACCATGTCCTTAAGTGTCACATCTACATGTCTCTTAAATACCTGCAGGGGCAGTGGCTCAGCCACTCCCCTGAGCAGCCTGTTCCAATGCTTGACAGCCCTTTCCATGAAGAAACTTTTCCTAATCTCCAATCTAATCCTCTCCTGGCACAATCTGAGGCCATTTATTGCTTGTTACTGGAGTGGAGAGGATCGAGATCCATCTCACTACAACCTCCTTTTCAGGCAGATGTAGAGATTCTTATTTTGTTTGTGAATAAGGCTCAGTACCTGCAGCATAAAGCATTACCAGTGATTTGGTCAAAACTGACAGTTCTTGGTCACCATCAAACATCAGACATGCCAGTTGTTAATTCGCTCATCAACACTGAATTTATCACTACTTCAGTGATAGTTCTATTGGCAAAAGAAGCTGTCAGCATTAATCAGTTTGAATATTAGAAACTTAATAATACCTTTCACAAGTTTTGCAAATAGCTAAAGTAGCTTTTCCAGCCTAAAGTGCTTCTGGCTTGCAGTGGGTTTCTACTATAAAAACGTCAGAGTGTACGAGCTATGAAAGCATTAACTCACACAATCATAAATGATGTTGTTTCTGTAAGGTTTAGTTACAGGTGCTTGGCTGTTCAAAGAAAATGTAAGTGGAACTATTCTTTCATCATTGGTTCCTTCCTACCCCTGGCCCCAGTGTACCATGGGCAAACCTGTAAAGGATGAAGATACAGCCACTGGACTGCCAGTTTAGAGTTGTAACATAGATTATAATTTCTTTCTGACTTTCATCGTTAGTACCAGGTGAGAGAACTTGCAGTACCACGATGTAATGAGAGGATCAGAAAAAGGCTGATGTGAGGGGAGAACAAGAAAAGGGTAATGCCAAATAAGGTTCCTGAAGGAGGAACACATCTTTGCATAGCGGGTGTTCAGCCACCATTGAGTTGTCTCCTTTTCATGTCATAGCAAAGGAAAGCTTTTTAAGGAGAAGTTTTGAGAAGCAGATATTCTTGATAATCTTCCTTGCATAAAAAGGAAAGTAGGAGGCAACAAGATGATGTTCCAAAAAGAAAGCTGAAGGGGTGGGATTATTCATGGAAGTAAGGGGTTTGGGAGTTAGGACCAAAGGTTTAGTGAAATGCAAAAGAAACTGCTCTTAAGAGCAATGTTGTGAATTTCAGGACAGAGTTAAAACTCTTTTTGTCTGTTCAGTATATAATTGGTGGAGAAAATCAATTTCTGGGAGGAAAGACCAATATTAATCAACATCTGTTTAAAAAGCAGTGTTTGTGCATTTGCTTATTTGATTGGTATGCTCATCTGGAAGCAAGCTTCATTGATGTTAATGTTGATTTGCACAGTCTTTTTGTGGCCAGTCAGATACAGCTTTTGAAAAGGAAGAACTGAATGCAGAAATAAATTCAGCAACCTGTAAGATTGGTTTATTTTGCCATCCTAGGGAAGAATAATACCAGTTATAAATCAGTCAAAACGCAGGACAGTGCAAGAGCCTAAGTTTATTTTAAAGAAGGGCTTTGGGATATCTTTTAGTCCTGTGGGACTTTATTCTTTGACTTTTCAATGAAAACATCCTCCATTCCTGATATAGTTCAAGTTGGACAGTTTTATTTTCTTGTACCATTAATACCGTGGGATTTACAGAAGTCAGTCTATGTGTGCAAGTGGAGAGCTACATCATTCCATCTGAAAATGGGGTTCTGTTTATATGTATAAAAATATAGAGTGGGGTATTTTGGTGTTTCACCCATAGAGCTTCACAGTGGAGTACAGGTTTATGTATTATTAACTCAGTGATGTTTTTTTGCCCCTTCTACTCTTTACTATACAGATTTATTAGAGTTTGGCTAGTCTGGTACAACATTAATTAGCTTGAAGCTGTGCTTTGTGTTTAAATAGCTGGAAAATCACTTGAATTTTGCCTCTTGACAGATGACATTTGTGTTCCAACTATTGAAATATGAAGCATTGCTTTCTTCGTGGTGAGACTATTCCCTTACTGTTGGAATTCATTATTTCATTTAATGAGACTGTTATGTATTTAGATGATGGGGGACACAGGTGCATTGATTTTAGTGGTTGCATTTTAAGGCAAACATGTAAGGCCTTGATTTGGTGTTGGTTTTTTTGCCTTTAGACCTGTAAGGAAGTTACTGTACTCTTACCTTCCCATGCAGTACATGAAGATAGAGAAGCAACTAGCTCCTGGGGGAGATAAAGACAATAGCCACTGTCTTTCATCCCAGAGCTAAGTATATAGAACTGCATGAAAGATGGTCCCAAAGGAAAAAGATTGTAGTGGAGCTGTTTTGCTTCAGTTATATTTAGTTCCATCCTGCATACAGTTCAGAGCTGGCATGTCTGTATGGTGGTGCTGTAGGTTGTTTTGAGGTGCATGGACACATTCTGCCTTTATTTTAAACTAATGTCTTCCATGGGTGTGGGGGTTCTGTGTTTTTTTGACTTTATTTATTTATCAAGACTTAGGGCATGTGAGATTTGTTGGAATTTGATTGCAAGGTGTATGTACTGTTGTAAAAAGTTTCACACACTCTGTAACTTTTCCTGCACTCTAGATGAAGGAAATAATGAAATAGATTCAGGTTGTCTTCTTTTTGATGTTCAGGACCCTCTTGCCTTTAAAGAATGGTTTCCAAATCTGACATGACTGTTCTCTTGGTATGGCATGCAATCAAAGCATATAGAAACAATAAAGATGAAGTTGCTCTTAAAGGCTAAATTTTCTAGCTGAAAAGAGAGTCTCAGAAAAGGAGTAAATGCCTTTTGCTTCTCCAGAGGGTACCATCTTTAAAGCTGAAGGCAGAGGTGAACTCTTGGGTTTTAACCCCCAAATTACCATTGAACAACATAATGAGCAGGATAACTCTGAAACAAAGGGTATTTACAGTTTTTACTCCTGGGGTCCTGCTATGTGGAACAAAGACCACATAATCAATCCGTAGCCAGAACTGCATCCCTTCCTCATTAATTTTTATTATAATATTACCTCAGAGTTTTGGGTATGAACCAGAATTGATTGGTTTAGGTTTCCGCAATACTTACCACAAAGTTGAACCCTGCAGTCAAATACAACAGAAAAACCCCAAACCACAAGGCTGAGAGTGTACTGGGAAACAGTATTGTCACATGTCAATCTCAGGTGCATTACCAAACAATTGTAAAGACTTGTATCTGTGTGTGCACATTTTGTGTAGGCATAATGGCAAAAATAGTTTTAAGGAATAATGTGAAAAAAAGAAAATTAATGTCTCTCATGGATTATCTCGGAGCCGCAGTCCTCATTGAAGGAACAGTTGGGAAGGGCACAGATATACCAGCTTTAAAATCCGGCAATAGCTGTAACTAGTTAATAACTCTTGGAAGATATGAACCTTGCTGTGGGGCAGAGGAGACAATGGGTCACACAAGGACTGTGGGAATGCTCTTGTGATGGAGACAGGCATTTTGTGTTTGGAGCAGCAGAGAGGGTGCCTGTCACTGGAGGGTTCAAAAGGAAGGTCTCCTTGCTGTGGGCTGTAACACTTCCTGACTTCTTTTTTGTACGTGGGTCTTGCTACTCCCACTGCCACCTCATTCCTCTTATCTCAGCTTTTTCCTCTTCAGCCTGCTACTTCTGCCTTGTTGGCTGCCAGCTGCACCAGTGTTGCTGGTGAGAAGCCCAGCCAGGCCAGGCTGTAGGAATTGATTGACATGGTCTTTGATGCTCTCTGGAGCTAATGCTCTTACTTCTACGTCCTGCCTACCTCAGCAGCTGGGAATTGATGAGCTGGAAAGACTCATATGCATATGTAATGTGCTATCAAAACAATAATAGTAAAGTATCTGTTTAAATGTTTGTAGAGCTGAATCTATGTGGACATTTGTTTGTAGAATTAAATTTACACTGGCTATTTATCATGGACTTGATCCAGGGCTATCAAAGTTAGTGAAACTTGGATTGGATCCTGTGGCAGAAATGCCTGCAATCCTTATATTGTTTAATAAACAAACAGCTGAGTAATTCTGTTGCATAAAATGGTAGAGGGTTACTCTGGCACTGATTATTTGATTGCTTTATTCATCCATTAGCCAGTTGATTCACATTACGCCTTCCTTAAAAACTTCTTCGAAGGTCATGTGGTTTCTTATTCTAGGTGCTTTCCAGTTTGGATTTTTTTTCTAAAAAAAAATACAGTGCCTATAAAAAAAAAAAAGATACAGTGCCTATCTTGCTTATAGCAAGATTGCAGAAATATGTGGGGGCAGAAGGGAAGGAAGTATCTCTTTACTCTTTTGCTTGGCTTTTTACGAGGATAAAATAAAGAACTTTTTGTCTGAGCTGAGGAGAATGTTGTGCAAAATAAGTCCTTTAAAACATCCAAGGAGATCTGATTTAAAGTTTCTGGTGCATCTGATTGCTAGGCAAACATGGGTAGGTCAGATTTACTTCCTGTAGATGCTCCATCTATTTTGCACTGCTGCACTTTTTCAGACCCTGCAGAAAGAGAAGGCAGCAGCAATGTAGTTAAAGTAGGTTATTGTTCTATTAACTAACACATTTGGGAGCTATCAGGTATCAGTAACTTATTTGATTCAGGTCATCTTCCTTTTGCAGATTGCTCTGTGTGGTGAGGGATAGTCAGAATTCTGTCCTTTCTCCTGACAGACTGAGATATTATGCCTTTTGTGTGTATAAAACCAGAGGTTAGAAGTGAAGGAAGGCAGATGTGCCTGTGCATGGAATGCTGAGTATGTCAGTCCATTCCCTGTTCTCAAGATATTTCTTGCCCTATCCATTTGGGAAATGGACCCCTATAAATGACTGCTGAAGATCCTTATCACCTGAGTGTGCAAGTATTGTGGTGTCTCCACCTTGGATGGGCCTGTGGATTAACTTTCTTTTCCTACTACATACTCTAATATGAGGAGTCAACACTATTTTTCAGTAAGCTGGCAAGTCCTGCAGCCCCTACAAAGAGGAGTTGGTTGTTCCCTCTTTGCCTGTGTGATTCAAACAGGTTCTCTGTTTCTTCTCTGGGGTTTTCACTGAAGGTAAACTGTCTTCCTCTTGAAGCCATTTTAGGCCAAGTCACCTTAAGCACAGAGAAGCAATGCAAGTAATTACTTTTAAGAGATAATGCTTTGGTCATCTTTGT